ATTCCTGGTTTTCTGCTTCTTAGTTCTGGGTATAATTAAAAGAGTCTTTTTAGATAATATCTTTTCTTTTAGTATAAAAGATTCTTTTTTGCTTTTTGCTATTTTACTAATTTTATACTTAGTCTAATACTCAGATTTCTACTATTTATTAGAAGTCTTAGGTTTAGCTTATTCTCTATTCTTATTAGGTTTTTCTTATTTAGTTATATTAGTTCTACTAGTTTTACTAGTAGCTTTCTTACTAGGTTCTATTAAATTAGCTTTATTTTTCTTAGCTAGATCCGATTAAGTCGAAACTAAAATTATAATAGGAGCCTATTCTTTAGGCTTATCTCGGAAAGCAGGAAAAGGCTTATTACTATAAGCTTCCTTAATTAGGATTCCGGAAGTATTAAAAATATACTATCTAGCATTAAGGTTATTAGCTAATAGTAGCTTAAATTCTAATTCTATAGGTTCCGAAATAGCTTTAGTATACTTGAGTACTTTAGTAATATCTAATTTAGTAAATATACTAGTATTCTAATACTTTTTATTCTTTATATATTCCAAAATAGCTTTATTAATTAACTAAATAGCTTTATATACTAAAGCTTTTGTCTTAAAAAGAGAATATAACTTCTTATAAATATTCTTACTAAGATTATTACAGATATTATTAATATATTAGCTAAAGGCTTTATAATATAATGTAATTCTATTCTAATTCTTGGTTTTTAGGCCGTTTACTATAGTCTTAATCTTATTAAACTTCTTTTATTTGCCTTTGGAAATGCCTTTAATAATATTCTCGAATTCTTTATTATTAGCTTAGTAATTCTTTAGCTTCTTCTTAGTTAATTCTAGTCTAGTTCTATTTCTAATAAAGGTTTTCTATTTTAAGAGCTTATTATATATATTATTTAGCTTATCTAGGATATTTGTATTAAATTCAGTAATTATAGCTATCTTTTCTAGTATTAGCAGGCCTTCTATAACTGCCTAAGTTCTTTTAATACTCTGAATTTTAATATTATTAATCTATAGGCTTTTAATAATACTGCGGCTTATAAGAACTAGCTATTATATTTTACTAATTTAAAAAATCTATTCTTTGGCCATTTTATTATACTTAATAGGTTATAAAGGTATTATTAGTATAATAGTTATAGGTTATAGAATTAAAGGTTCTCGAGGTTATAAGAATTTTTTTTAAGTATATTCCAAAATAAAAAGTAAATTAGAATAGTCTTAAATTATATAAATATATTATATATATTCGAGTTTTTTCTTTTTTCCTAGTAAGAAAAAAAAGCTAAAATAGTAGTATATATAATAGGGAAAATAGATTAAATAATTAGGTATATTTAAAGTAATATAATTATAAATTAGGAATAATTATAGAAAGTAAAATATAGAATTAGGCTTCTATTATAGAAAAGAATACAAATATATATATTTAAGGAAATATAATTAAGGAAATAATTAAGGTAGATTAAACTAAACGGTAATAATAGGGAAATAAGAAGGTAATATAATAGAAATATAGATATAGTAATAGTATCTGAAATATTGAAATATAGAAGAAAATATTAAAAAATTTATAATATAAATATATCCCGATTTTTTATTTATTTAAAAACGTCTCTATTAATTCAAGAAATAGTATAAAAGAAGGGAAATAATATAGGAAATATATAAATAATAAGATATATAAGTATATTAAAAAATATTAGAAAAATATAAAGTAAATATTAATAAAAAGAAAGTTAGAATAATAGAATTAAGAAATAATTTAGAATAAGATATTATTTCTTCTAAAACTAATTTATATTTATTTAGTATTTATTAAAGTCGACTTTAAATAATATAAAATTATTTAGTTATTTAGGACTTTAAAATAATATCTATATTAATAAAAGTAATACTAAAGGCATTAAAATATATAGAAAAGAGGACTATAAAATAGTATAAATAAGGTTTATAATACTATTATTAAGTTTGAAATAATTAATATTAAAGCTAATATAGAATATAAAGAAATTAAGTATTCTAAATTAGTATTAAGGATATAGGAATTATTTAAATAATATTTAATAGTAAGAAATAGATTAATAATAAGAATTAATAAATTATACTAGCTTTTTAAAAAAGTAATTAGTTTCCGGTAATAAAATAGTATCTTAATTAGGAAATAGGTTTTATATAAGAGAAGTTCTCTTTATATAGAAATAGGAATATATAATATACTAATTAAATCTTAATATAAGTTTTAAAAGTAGTTATAGTTATATTAAAGAGGAAGTAGGTTTTCTAATATAAGATAAGCTTTAAATAAGTAGATCTAGTTTATCTAATATTTAATAAATTCCTAGAATTATATATTATTAAATACTTTCGGAAATAATTATTAGATTTAATAAGGTTTTCCTTTTTTCTTATAGGGCTTCTAGTTTAGCTATTTCATTTATATATAATTTCTAATTAGGAAGTTTATTTAGGTATTATAAGGAAACTTATAATAGTAGTTTAAGTTAAAGTCGAGATTTATAAATATTATAATTAAGCTTTAGATTAATATAAGCCGCAAGAATAGCTAGTTAAAAAGGTAAATAAAGCCTTTAAAAGGTTTCTAGTTTAGTAAGACATATATAAAAAACCCTTTTTCTTTTTCTTTTCTTTTCCTAATTCCAAATATAATTACTATTTATTATTATAGTTCAAAGTTAAGAGTCTGTAAAATAATCTCTTAATTCTCTATTTATTTTTATACTAAAAGAAATCCTTTATATTTAATTCCCAAAATCTAGTAATAGAATTTCATATATTAAGAATACTATCTAGTAATAGTAATTAGATAATAATAAGAAATAAGTAATAGTAAAGCTTGTCCGATTTCTAGAATAATAATCTAATAATAATATTCTCTAAAAGTTATAAATATTAATTAGAAGAAAAAAACAAAAGATATATAAAGAATTAAAAGTAATAAGCTTTATTTCAGGTTAAGAAAAGCTTCTATTATTAGATACTTTTTCCTAATTCTTTATAAAAAAGATATATTTTACTTTTTTTAATTCCGGTAATTCTGGAATATATATAATAATACTAGTAGTTTTCTCGATTTCCTGAGTATTATTTTACTTATAGTATTCTATAACTACTTCTCTTTCTAGTTCTATATCTATTTTAAAACATTTATTTATAGGTATATACTTATTATTAACTTTATTTTTAGAAAAATACCAGAATTTATTTCTTTTAATAAATTATTTAAGTTAATTCCCGGTATATATTCTTTAGAGTATAGTATTATTAAGCTCTTCTAATATATAGTATTCTTTTAGTTAATTTATATATCTTATTATATATAGGCTAAGCTAGTAATATAATAGCTTTATATTTCTTAACTTGTCTTAATTTATTAATTTAATATTATATATAAGAACTAGATTCTTTTTAGAAATAGGCTTTATATAAATCTAGTAAATAATATTAAATTACTTCTTTCTTTCTTAGTATTATCTATTTTTCTTTATTCTAGCTTCTTTAATATTTTTATTTCTTATTTATATTTACTTTATATATATTTCTAGAAGTATTTCTTTATTATAAACTTTATCTTATTTAAGTATTTTTTAAATTAGAAAGTATATTTCTATAAGTAATATAGCTTTTCTATTATAGACTATATAAAAGAAAGTAAATCTAGTCGGTTTATATATAGTAACTTAGTTAGTAAATAGAATATATAATAGTAAATCTATCTAAAGCTTTTTTTACCTATTATAAATATAATAAGTATTTAAATAATTAATTAATATCCTTATTTAATTATATTATTTCCTTTAGAATTATAGGCTAAAATAATAATTCTATTAATTCCTAGTTTATTAAGTTCCTAAATTACTACTTTTTTGAATTCTGATCTACTATTTACCTTAAGCTATTTAAATAAACTATATCTATAAATAATTTCTTCTCAAATAAACTTAGTAATTTTCTTACTAGTTAGATTCTTTAAAGATCTAGCTTTAACTTATTCTAAGAAATTATTTCTAGTAATAACTAGCAAATTATATTCTTTATAGTCTAGTAGTTTAATTATATTAATCTTAATATAATAGAAAAGAAGTATAGCTTTTATTAGATATAGAGCTTTTTCTTGTTTTCTTTTATTCTTATACTAATAAACTTTATAAGTACTAATATATTTCTATATATCTGTTCTGCTATTACCAGCTTTATATGGCCTGTATATCGGAGCGGCTCGCTTAAATTTCAGCTAATTAGAAGGCTATATTCCATTCCAAACCCTTCGATTTCTACTTCTCCTCATGAAATATATCAAAACAGCTATTATAATTACATAAATGAATATTATACTACTTATACCCAAAGGAGGACGAGTACTTACTGCTTTCCCGGCCTCTATTAGATATAATTTCGCTTAATACAATCCTTTTTCTTGGCCGATCCCTATATCTCAAGCCTTTACAGGCTATATAGTACCCCCTTTTAGCCATCTTTACTAGCTTATACGATTCTACAGGTACCTGTTTAGCTCCCTGGCTAATCTATAATATTCTTCTCTTTGGACAGATCTCACTATCTCTTTCTTTAGCTAGTAAAGCACTGACTAGCTATCTCCTGAAATCCTGCTGGCTTCTGAAGCTTATTTCCCTAGGTTTAGGGATATTACTATATAAAGCTAGTAAATAGTAATTAATCAGAACCGTACGAAGTAGCCAGTGCTCTAGTACTTGGTGCCCTTCCCGCTTTACATACCGTAAACCAGCGTTCTGGGCAGTCAGGTAATCAAACTCGTTAACTGCTCCTATATAATAGTTATATCTATCTGCAATTACAGGAATCGAGAATATCTTTATAGCCTGATTACCAAAGGGTATTCATATAGTCTTTGCTTTAGAAGAAGTCTCCTTAGGCCTCTTCCTTAGCCGTAAAATACGCTCGTTACCTGATATAAAGAAAGATATTATTAAAACAAAGGCTTAATCTTTCTACCCAATATAATATACTTCTCTATTAGGCATATACCTGGAATACGTTTTACCCCAGGGTATTACGTCCTTTTTATCCGATTTCTGGAGGTCAAGAAGCTCCTTAATAACCCTACCAGTTATCCTATAAGTCCCAGTAATTGCAACTCCCTGGAAGCAAACATATTAGACAAAGCGAGTAGAAACAAAAATATTATTAAGGTAAACGTAATATCCAGAACCCTTAGGAAGCTTGGGCAACCTTTTAATCAAGTATAGAACTATTACTTATATCTTATTTCCCCTATTTCCAGCCTTAATTGTCCCACTAAGCTCTCGTAGAATATATACTCCTATAGGCCCATTTTTTTAACTAGGAATATACTAGTTCTATACGAGTAAGAACTCCCTTTGGGCTGCCCCCCAGACCTTATATCCTATAGGTATAGGCTTATTTGGAATAGTGGTTATTTCTTTGGATTAACCTTCAAATCATACAATTATCTTATCGATTACCAAGTCCCGTTCAGGCTTCCAAATACCCAAATTAATCTCTTGAATATATATACTAAAAGCTTTAACCTGCTCAGTAATTTATTAGCTAGTTTCAGGTAAAATAAATCGAGTAATAGGGGCTACCTTCTTATATAGGCCTTATTCCTGATTTCTATAGAATCGTATATATATATAGAGCTCCTGAAACCGATTCCTACTCAAATACTTTATAATTAAATACTCAGGTATTATATCCTTTATTATCTAATAATCTATAATCTCATTATCCATATACAAGCTTATATATATTCGAATCGCAAGATAGATATATATCTCTCTATAGTATATTAGGTACTAATTATTTACTCGTATATAAGGGCCAGATTCGTCTAAAGGTTTTCATATATAGTTATTTGTTTTCTTAATTATTAGATTAATAATTTTAGAGGTATAGTATATAGTAAATAAAGTAATAGGATTATCTAAAGAGATATCTTCAGGTAAGATAATTTCCCAGCCAAATTAGGGCAATTATATAGGCTTGAAAGCACTTCCCTATTTATATAATAGATCTTTATTAGGCCAAAGGATTCCTTTATTAGTAGAATCAAATACGGTAGTATCTGATATCCTAATTATAGTATAATTAATAATTTAATTGAGTATTTAGTAATTTATTTATATATAAACAGGAACCAGAGTTTTGATATTCCTCCGGAATAATAGTTTTTCCGATATACGGGCCATATAAAGCTAGTAATAGTATAGCAGATAGTTATAGTAATCTTTCTAGTAATAATAGCTAGTTACTAAATAAAAGGTATTCTTTTTTCTAGTATATCTAATCTTATTATATAGCTTTTTAATAATAATTTCTCTTTATTCTTAATTATTAATAATAAGTTAAGATAAGTATACTTTAGATATAACTCTCTAGAGTAATTAATCTTTTATATTATAATTTAAAGCTTTTTTACTTAACTTTTAAAACTCGGTTCTAAATATTTCTTTTAGTCTAGAAAATATTATAAGATATTATATAATATTCTAATATTATTTGAAATAGCTATTATTTAAGGAATCTAGTAAAATAGTCGGGTTATTAAATACAGTATATAAGTTAGTATTATTATTTACTATTTTACTAGTAGTTATATATAAAAGACTATAGCCTTTATTATATAACTTCCGGATTTTATTATTTTTTAATATTATTAATTTGCTTTCAAATATAATAAGGCTTTAATTATTAATTTCTAATAACTAAATACTATTATTCAAATATCTAATAAAGGTTTTAGGAATCTAATTCCTTAAAATAATATTATATAACTAAACCGGAACTATTTCCTTTATTCGAATTTTCTGTCTAATAAGTACTATTCTAATAATATTAAGCTCTATTACTAACTATTTATTAATATTCTTATTATCTTTAGTATTACTTTCTTACTATAGATATCTCAATAATTTATTAGTAATAGTATACTTAGTTCCCTTAATATACTTAATTTTAAAGTTAAATAACTAAATTCATATTAGCTAGTAAGTAACTAGAGCTTTAGGAAAATCTATAGCTACTTTATTTAGCTATATAACAAGTATATTAGTATCTAGTTTAAGGATAAAATAAATTTCATATAGCCAGAATTATACTTTCTATAAATATTTTACTAGCCCTTAGTATTTTCTTTAGTAATATTATATTTCTATTTAGTATTATTTTAGATTTTAGATATATATTATATAACTTTCTTTTTCTCTTTATTATTATATTAATTAAGAGTTCTGCTTTATTTATTTAGGCTAGTATCTATTACTAATATAATTATTTCCTAATTTTCTAATAAATTATAATATAACTTATAAAGTATTAGAGCTATAATAAGCTTTTCTTAAAGAATTTATATGATTTACTTTTATTTATTATTTCAGTTCTATATTATATCTTTTCTTATTAAGTAATAAATGGATTTAGTAATAATTATAAAGCTTTTAATTTAAATATAGTAATAAATAATAATTCTAATAAATACCTTACCTTTAGTTATATTATTATAATATTTCTATTTTAAGATCTTAGTAATTCCTAAACTTAAAAGGCTTCTTTTAAATACTTTATAGATAAAACTAATAATAATTATACTATTATAATAGAACTATAATTTTTCTTCTATACTAGCTCTAGCTTATTTAATTCTATCTAAGGTTATATCTAGGTTTTAAAAGTATTTAAATATAAAATACCGAATTTCGAATAAAATAAGCTATTTATTATACTTTATATAAGGTTCCTTAATTCTAATATTATTAATAAATAATATAATAATTTTGGGAAATAGATTCTTTAGAATAGTTATAATAACTTATATAAATTATATAATAGAATTAGTAGTTTCCTAAGATAGTATAATTATTCTTAATAATTCTAAAAATATTATAAATATAATTAAATCTCTATTATAAGTATTTAGTATAAGTTAATTATATTTAGAAAAGAAATTAATTAGAGAAATATAAATATATTTAGTAAATTCTTCCGAAATCTTATTAGTAAATAAAAGTAAGTTAGTATTTTATAGGATTACTAAATTTATTTTTATAATAATATTAATTAGTTTATAAGTTCTAGTAATCTTCTTTATAATTAAAAACTATAAATTTTAGTAAGGTCTATTATATTTCTTAAGGATTTTATAATTTAGGTATTTTAATAATATTTTTATTATTACTAGTATTAGAGCTTTAGGATATAAGAAATTCTTTTCTTACTAGGCTTTATACTTAATAGTTTTAATTAGAATAAAAGAGCTAATATTCTTATAAACTTTTCCTATTTCTTTTTAATTAATTATTAATTCTTGAAATATAGCTAGTTTCTTTTTTTAAAGCCAGTTACTAATATTTAATTATTTAAGATATTCCGGAATAAATTATAAATCTCTTAAAATAGCTAATATTCTTAGTAAAAAATAATTCTTATATTTCCTAGTATATTTCTATAAGTATTCTCTAGCTTTAGATCTTTTAAACTAGTCCGGATATTTACTAGAGCCTTTTCTAGTTCTATTATTAGTATTTACTAGTTAAATCTTCTTATTCTTTATTTTATATATTCCTATAGCTAGAAATAGACTATAATTATTATCTTTTTTTTTAAGAGCTATAGTAATTTTCTCTAGTATTTTTTTTATCTAATTTCCGGAGTTTATAATCTTTCTATTTAGCTTTTTCCTAATTAAATATAAAGAATATTTTTTTGTCTAGTATTTTAATATACTTTTCTTAAGCTCTTATATATTTCAGAATTCTTTCTAGTTTTAGGTTTAATATTTCTTAGCTTCGGGAATATATTTCTTTATTATTAGGAAATACTATTTTATTTCTTTTTTAGAAATATTTTTATTTAATACTTTTTTTGCTTCTTTTTCTATTAATTCCGAAACTACTTTTAATAATATTCTAATTAGAGTCTTTTTTACTTTAGTTTCTTTAAAAATATTATTAATTTCCTAAACTCTTAAATCCAAAATAAAAGAATTTATAAGAAATTCCGGTATTTTCCTATTTCTCCTAATATTATTACTAGTTATAATATCAGGCTTTATTTTTCCTCTTTATTTTTAGTTTTCTATTTTATATTACTTAATTCCTTAATTCTAGAAGCTTAGTACTTTTAAACTATTACTTTCTTTTATTTCCTAGTATTTTTTAAAAATGAAATAATTATAATAATATAGGTATTCTAGTTATTTTTAGGATTAGTAAATCTTCTATTCTATAAACTATTACTCTTATATATAATATTTATCTTTATTTTTACTAAGAATAATTAATTAAATAGGATTTTTAGAACTTTTTTAACTAGAAAAAACGCGTTTTTATATCTTACTTTATTTATAACTTTAGCTCTAAGCTTTATTATTCTAGTAAATCTAAATTTAATTCTAGTAATAATAAATATTTAATAATTTATAGTATTATATATTACTTTACTAATATTTCTAAAGATTTTTTCGGGAAAAATATTAATTTTAGTTCTAGTATTAATTATTTCTTTATATTTAATATTTCTTTAAGGTTCTCGAAATATAAATTAGAGATATAAAGCTTATATAATATATTTATAAGCTAGTAATATCCGAATATTAATACTATTACTTTTAAATCAAATAATTCTATTAGTATTAGATATTTAAGCTAGTATTTCTAATTCTTTAAATATTTTGTCTATTATATAAGCTATAGCTACTAGTATATCTAACTATACTTAATATAATAGTATTTCCTATTTATAAAATAGTAAAATAGAAAGTATTATTCTTAATTTATTAGTTCTAAAATATAGTAATTAGATCTAGTATTTTTAAGGTATTAATAAGTATTTTTATTTCTTTCTAAGTCTTTAGAAATAAAATAGTTACTTTTTTTAATAATCTTATTAAAATATTATTAATTTTAGGAATTCTATACTTATTATAATTAAGAATATATTAGGTTCCTAATTTATTTTATTTATTTCCGGAAATATTAATATTTATATTCTTAGCCAGGCTATTTCCTTATTTATTACTTCTTAGAATAGTATTTTTCTAGCTTTTTATATAGGATAGCTTCTTTTTTACTCTGGCTTATTTTCGGAAAACCTTTTTAGCTATTTCTTTTTTTTTTCTCTTTTT